GTACCTATTGGATTTTATTTCCTTTATACTCTTAATTTGAATATTTCACTATTTTATTTTATGCATTGATACACAAATGAGTATCCCTCCTTGACTCTCGACCTGGGAAATAAAGTTATTGTCATAAAATAATAAATATTCACTTGATTTTGCCAGTAATGGAGGCTGGTAAACCTTATGCCCAAGTAGCAAGTCATGGGAAACAAACGACAGTGAGCAATACTGATCCTATAACTTCAATGCTGCAAAAAATAATGAATCAAATGGATAAACAGGAAGAATTTAACAAAAAAGTTCTAGAAATGCTGGATAGACTAGAAAATAATACAAATAAAAGACGATAAAAGAGAAAATGACTCCTCGAATGGAACACAAATTGACTCTTACAATACCAGCAAGAGTTATTAGTGACCTTAGAGACACAAAATTTGGATATATGCCTAATAGCAGAAACAGATCCATAATGCCATTCATTCAAACAATTCTGCCCGAGGTGAAGCTTCTATTATTATTAAAAATAACATAACACACTATGAACAAGGAAAAAATGAAACTGAAGAAATGCAAGCTGTTAGCATATCTGTTAAAACAAAAAATATGTACTCACTATTGCATCTGCCTACTGTCCATCCAGATATAATCTCAAAAGAGAAGAATACAACAACTTCTTGTCAAGTCTTGGTGAAAAATTTATATTAGGTGCTGATTTTATTGCAAAAAATGGCTGACATGAATAAAGTGCAGCACGTATGAATAAAATTTAAAGGTAGTTACTTATCTTGAGTAGGTACTCTTATGTACAATTTAAAGTGAGTATAAATCTAATTTTCCTATGAATAAAAATAAATTTATTCTCAGAAGTCTGAGTTTCTAGTCCATATAAGTGGAGTATCCTTCGAAGAAGACTGTTTCAGTTAGACCGCAAAGAAGTGCTGAGTTTACGAATTTGTAGGCAAAAAAATATTATAAACCTACGACGATGACTGTAAAGTGTTATATCGTCACAAAGAAAACGGAGTGAATATCGAATCATTTTTTGGGCGAAAAGTCCACTGAAAGAAGAACTGGTGAGATATGTAAAGTTGACATACTAAAAATATTCTTAAAGTGTGTAGCAGACTCAGGTTTCAATCTGGGGTAGGAGAAGATTTGGGAGTCCATCATATTCTGTTTTAAAAGTTTTAAAACCTAGCTTTTAAATAAAATTTTCTCAGAGTGCTGCAGATATCCATATGGGCAAAGAAAACTGATGAACAAGATATAATTTTTCTTGTGCAGTAGGTGTCACTGATTATACTAACATAAGTATGAATTAGACCCGTGGATTGAAAAGGGTATCCTATCATTAATGTACAAGCCACGTGCAATTCAAATGAATGGTTTACAAGCATAAAGGCCTCATGGCCCAGATCTGTTCATGATGCCGGAATATGGTAAAATTCACAAATTTACAATTATGCTCAAACAATTTTGAAAACTTTACTAGGCGTAAAAAGGAGCATCTGTTTACTTTTATAGGAGCATTTATTCGCTAAAGCTGGGATACATTTTATTCATATACAGAGTGGCCCAAAAGTTTGGAAATGGCCAATTATCTCGTAAATTGCTAATCCGAATTGTACAAAATTTGGGTTACACCTATTTTGGGATACGGAGATTCCAGATTTGATATTTGCAATGTTGCCAGATTTGCCATTTCTCTTAAATTATTAGTCACTTTGGTTTTTTAAATTCATCCCACTATATATTCAGTCGCTATTGGAATCTCCTATTCAATACAAGTTCATCCATATGTAACACTTATGAGTTTATGTAGTCTGGAAGGTCTTAAATAAATAAAATAAGTCTGGCAACGCCTAATTGTCTCAATAAATTTTTTAATAAAAACTATTTTCAACCACATTAAAACGTAACAATTGAAAGATTATAACATTTTTAACATAATGGTTACTTTATCAAATGTTCAAAATGTGCTCCATTTATGAGTTGACAGTACCCTAATCGATGGTAGAATGCGTCTACCATATTTCTCCATGATTGTTTTATTTATTTAAGACCTTCCAGACTACATAAAGTCATAAGTGTTACATATGGTTGAACTAATAATATAAGAGAAACGGCAAATCGGACAACACTGCGAATGTCAAATCTGGAATCTCCGTATGACCCAAAAATTTTGTACAATTAGGATTAGCAATTAACGAGATAATTGGCCGTTTCCAGACTTTTGGGCCACCCCGTATATTGAAGTATAAACTCCTACTTTATGCCCATGCTCTTGAGTATATGCTCAGAATACAAACTTAAATAAAAATTTATTGATATCACCCAACGTCTGTCGAGGCTCAAGACTACAATCAAGGGAAAAGAACTGAACATGGCTATCAAAGATCAGACATGTAGGAGGCACTCCATGGAAAAACCTAATATTGTCCAAGCGATAAAAACAATATACCAGACATTCTAGACTGTTTTATTTCCAGAAAAATTGCAGCAAATTTTACAAAGATTGAAAAAGTTGAGGAATTATTATCTGATCACTCTCTAATACTCCTAGTGAAAATATTATCATTAGAGAACTCAATCCCACACTGACGAAAAAACATACAGACTGGGAAGGATTTCAACTTTAACTTCCTGAAAAAATTGAATTAAATGTCCCAATTAGGACAGTGGAAGATTTGGATACAGAAACAGAATTATTTATGGTCAATATCCAACAAGCTTCATGGAATAATACACCATTAATACAAAGGAAAGCAGTAGGTAATAATTACCCAAAGAAATAAGGGATTTAATATAAAAGAAAAGAAAGGTTCGAAAGGAGTGGCAAAAAATAAGAACCAAAGAGAACAAAACCAAATTAAATAGACTTACACAACAACTACGTAGAGAAACAGAACCAATTAAAAATGAGTCGACCAATAAATATCTGAGAGCTCACAGATGACCAAATCACTAATTACTCATTACGGAAAGATGTTAAAAAATAAACAAACAAATTCAACACATACCCCCAATACGAAGAGAAAATGGGACGTGGACAAAAAGTTGCGAACAAAAAGTTTATGCTTTTTTCAATTATTTAGAACTCATCCTCCACCGAAATCCAGGAGAAGATGAAGAAATTGAAATGGATAACCAACAGAAAATAAGTTCTAAAGAAATACAAAGAGTTCGAGCTGATCTAAGGAAAGATACTAAAGAAATGACCACGAAAAGGTTTAGTAAAACTGACCAATGCACCATTTCGACTTCCACTACTATGGAAAACTGCTGAGGTAATAATAATAATAATAATACCCAAACTGGGAAATCGCAACAATGAAATAACATCATATAGCAATCTCGCGTCCAACTGTGATATCAAAACTTTTTGAAATATTGCTTTTCAGTAGACTGAATAAAATAACCGACAAAAAACAATTGATCGGATTTCGGGATAAACATTCTACGATTAATCAGATCTATCGTATATTAAATAAAATTGAAAATTCTCAAGAAGGAAAACAAATGTTCCGCAGTATTTCTTAATATCTCAAAAGACTTCGTTAAAGTGTAGCATGAAGGCCTATTAACTAATATTCTGAAATCAAGAATAAAAATATAAAATTAGCCACATTCGCTGATGATACAGCTGTCTTAACCATAAGATCAACTATATAAGAAATAACAGAAAATCTTTAAAACAGAATCAATAGCATACAAATCTGGTCTAAACAGTGGCGCACAAAAATCAACAATGCAAAATCTGCTCACATTAACTTTAACAATAGAAAAATAGATTATAATGTAGCAAATAACTCAAATAACGATATTATACGAAATAAGAAGAGAGCAAAATATCTGGGTCTAAATCTGGATGCTAAATTGAAATGGAAAGAGCATGTAAAAATGAAAACTAAATAACTAAGGAATAAATAAAGAAATATGTGTTGGTTGATAGGAAGGTACTTTTCACTTTCCACTGCAAACAAGTTCTAAAGTCAGTATAGACATATGGCAATTAGGGAGGGTATTCGAGTAAACGCAATTACAATTGCCTAGAAGCGCAGTAAAGTTGCAACAATATAGTGAACTTTTAAAATAGTAGAAGAAGATATACATTTTGTTGTCGTCACCCTCTAGAATAGACAAAAGCGTTTAGCGTATTTTTTTTTTCGGTTTTATTGTAAGAAAAATAAATGCTCCTGTAGGCAAAAATTAAATATATTTTTCTCTTCTAGCACTTTTTAACATTTTTACTTCTTTTCGTTAGAAAAACTCCTTCTTAGATTTTTCAAAAGAGATTAATTTAAATTTTTAAAAAGTAATCTGTACTTACACAATTTTCTTATAGTAAAAATAAAAAATAATCCGTAAAATTAATGTACTATAAAACCCTTGCATATAATATACATGTCAATCTTAGTATTACAGAAATGATTTACGTAAAAAATAAGGTGAACAAATATATTTTGTTTTCATTTACAAATATTAATTTCTTAAAAATCTAACAGAGGCGCCACTTTCCAGACGAAAAATCTTGCAATGTAAGGGTTTCGTAGTACCCCACTTTTAAGTTTATTTTTGACTATTTTTAAGAGAAAAAAATATGCGCATCTGGAACCACTTTTTCAAAACTCAATATAGATTTTTCTAAAAAAAAAAAAAAACGAGAAAATGGGTAAAAAAAGTCGAGTACTGTTTTTTTTGTTTTTTTGAGAGAAAACAATCAAATTTTGAAAGAGTGTCTCAGATGAGCATAGATTTAACCTTTACTGATACGAACATATTTTTTTCTTTTAGAAAAAGTAAAAAAAAACTTTAAAAGTGTGGTACTACGAAACCCTTGCATGCTCTGCTCTAAAGCCAAGTAAATACTCCTCTTAATGTTTAATTTGGTTAAAATACAAATCAACTTAAATAATTATATAAAATTGGTATTCTTTATGAATGAATCAATAAATTTAATGCAATATAACCCAATATTAAATATTTCTGTACCTGCCAATGGATAGTACAAAAACTAGGTAAACAACATGCGAATTTGTACGTTACCATCTCTGATTCGGAATTTTAGTGCCGTTAAAATGTCTTCCAGAGAAGAATCGAAAGAAATTAATAAAAATAATTTTAAAAATGCTAAAGTGAAGAGGCCATTAGGAGACTTAAAGCGTAAGTATTTTTTTGGAAATTAAACGTATATACCCATTTTCTGAAGTAAAGTTATTATACTAAATAAGGAAAAATCTACAATATTAAATTAAAATTCGGGTTCATAACACTTTAGTGTCACAAAAAGTAAAAAGAACCATTTTGAATGTGGTAGAGATTAATTCTTTACAAAAAAGTGCGGATTTTGTCAAATAATAACCATTTTTTTCTAGGCTCATTTTGTATTTTTTTGAATATAAGTGAATTGTTCGCTGAGTTCAGGTGCGAGTTTTGCAAAAAATTTGTCAACACCCAAAAATAACTAGTTTCTATAGTAAATTTTCGCAAAAAAATATAGAAAATCAGTATTTTTCGAAAAAAATATAATCAAAAATTGATGTGATCAAAAATCATATATTTTGTTGTTTGCAAAAATACAGTATACCTGCCTATAGAGTTACAGTTGTGATTTTGTGATTTCGTTTGTGTTTTCATTTCCCTCTTTTAAAATTAAATTATTATAAAATAATATTAATTATTAAGTTATTTGCATAAAATATCTCCTATTATTGATAAATTAAAGTATTTTGTAGTGTTTCAGTGTATTTTTTCTATTTATACTGCGTATTTATTTTTTATTAACTATTTTGCGTGTTGGGTACCATGGGTAAATTTTCTTTTTTTGGTTTATTTTAAGCTCTTTTATTATAAAGATAGCTAATTTGAATTTACGATCAATTTTTACTGATTTGTGTTCTTTGGAAAAACAGTATGATGTACCTGATGATTTCTGAAACGAAAAGAGGTGGTGGCGTGGGAGCTTTTGTTTAAATTATGAAAACTCGAGATAAGGAGACGAATCAACATACTCAAAAAACGCATGCTAATTGAGCTTCTATAATTAACCGCATGGGCGCTGGTACTGCATACGCTGTTCAAAATAAATGGCTTCTTATGAGAATTATACATAATTTTGTCAAAATAATAAAAATAAACTTGTTTATAGCTAAATATAGCACAGAACATACTGTTGTATTTATTTCTAAATAAGTCTTGCATGTTTTAATTGATAAATTATTTAATTTTATCTATATAAAATACAAATTAGGTACGTATGACCAAATTCGAAAAGGTTTCTTAAATGCTGAAATTTGTAGTACACTTTTGTGACATTTTTTTTTTTTTTTGAATTGAACTAATATACAGGGTGTCCCAATAGTGTGTGGAAGTTCGATATATCCTATATTATAGAAAATACCTAACAATGTTATTTACAAAAGTTGTAGATAATATTAATCTGCACATTTCAAAATTATTTTCGATTATACAGAGTGATCCATAACTTCAGAATTGATCAAACCTATGTTTTTTTTTAAATGGACCACCCTGTATTTAATTGTAAATTTGAATTCCCCTGACTTTGCCCTTCAAGAAAATACCAACATGTATGAGGTCTGGGTATTTTGGAAGTTTAAACCAATTTTATATGAAAATCGTACTAGGTTCAACCCTCTGTATATTTCAAAAGAAACAATCGAACATCAAAATTTTTAAATGAATCATTTTTAATGATAGTCTACTTTTATAAGAATATACTAATTCTTTCCTAGCTCAACAGACATGTACAGGATGAGTCAAAACTCAGATACACGATTTTCTCAATTTTTTTAAATGTAACACACTGTATTTCATATCACTACTAAAAAATACTCTAATTATACGTTCGTTTAAATTAAATATTGCCTATCCCTAAACACAACAGTTTAGCGAGATTCTTAGATGAAATGTTAGAAAGGGTTAATTATAACTAAATTCACAATGTAATTTGATTTAAATTCCTGTTAAAATATACTGTTTAATCAGTTTATATTTTTAAGGTACCTAGGTACAATTTATTATCAACTGAATTTACTTTTTTTACTTTTAAGGTTAGGTTCACCCTGTATTTCATATCTCTACTAAAAGCACTTTTAATTATACATTCGTTTGTCCCTATCCCTAAACACAACAGTTTAGAAGATATTTTATATTTGAATGAAAAAAATATGAGCCAAAAATAAGTTATTTTAATTTTTTTTTGTTCAGAAAGTTGCGAACTGGTTGAGCATGATGTACAGAAGCTCCATCATGTAATATCCACATTCGGCGTCTTATATTTAGTGGAACATTTTCCAATAGTAGTGGTAGATGATTCTGCAGAAAGTCTAAGTAGACCTCGGCAGTTACACGACCATGAAAGAAATGTGGTCCTATGACATAGTCCCCAAACGTTAATAGACCATCGTGTTTGGCTATGTGTCATTAACTCATAAGGATTGGTGGTGGAATAGTAATAAAAATTGTGTCTATTGACGAAACCGTTTTTGTGAAATGTTGATTCATCCCCAAAAGTACACAATCAAAAAAATCATTTTCATTATTAATGCTTTCTATTGCCCATTCACAGAAAGCTATTCTTTTTTGAAAATCGTTCTCAAGAGGCTCCGGATGACGTTGGATATGGTATGGATGTACTTTATTTTTTAATAGTATCCTACTGACAGATGATTTACTTATTCCCGTTTCAGTTTCCATGATGCATGTACTGGTGTTTGGATTTTCGGTAACACTAAGTAGAATATTTTGTTCATTTAAAGTTCGTTTTTCTCTATCATTTTTTTGATATGCTACATTACCTGTACGTTTGAATCTTTCCAACAGATTTTCAAAAATTTCTTTACGAGGTTGTCGGGATATTTTTGCTTATAAATTCTAGTTGCCAACAAGCAATTTTCATCACTAGCTCCTAGCACTAAAATCATATCAGTCAATTCATTCGTTTCAAAATTCATTTTTAAATTAGTCAAATCAATAAATTTAAATACTTGTGAACACTAAACGTAATTTAGTTTTTTTATATAAACAATTCAGAACTGTCAAATTATTCTTTTGACATGAATTTCATTGCCCACTTGACCTAATGCACAAAAAAAATTGAAATTCTGTTAGCGTTTTCATTGCATTTTATATAAAAAGTTGTAAAGGTCCCAAAAAATTAATTCAGTTGATAAAAAATTTTACCAGGTACCTTAAAAATATAAAGTGATTAACTAGTAACTAGTATGTAATATTTAACAGGAGTTTAAACCAAATTACATTGTGAATTTAGTTATAATTAACCCTTTTTAAACTGTTGTGTTTAGGAATAGGCAGTATTTAACTCAAACGAACGTATAACTAGAGCACTTTTTAGTAGTGATATGAAATACAGGGTGTTTACAATGACACAATTGCGGTAAAAAAAAAAAAATAACAGTAGCAACTCTTTATCTAACATTAAAATTCTATGAAAATAAATTTTCTTTTCTAGTAAGGTAAATTTAATACACAATTATTGTTGTTTGTAAGTCAGCATCTATAACTGTAAAATTTTATATCATAGAAACATGTAATAAAATAAACTACACTTCTTAAGATACATATTGTGACTAGTTTACATTAGATATTATATTTAGGCAGGAGGCGCCTTCTCTCTAGTCTCCATAGTTTAAATTGTTATCATTGTCAAGAAATCATACCTTAATTTATAATTAGTGATCATTTTTTTTTTTTTTTTTGAAAGAGTAAAACCAAATTTGGTAGATTTTAACACTTTTATTTTAAAAATAAAAATTTTTAAACAAACACTAACATGACATATGTTTCGAAGTACAACTTCTTTTTCAAATGTGTTGTACTTCGAAACATATGTCATGTTAGTGTTTGTTTAAAAATTTTTATTTTTAAAATAAAAGTGTGAAAATCTACCAAATTTGGTTTTACTCTTTCAAAATTAAATGGATTTTCATCAAGTAAAGGCCGAAAGAATAAATAATTAGTGATCAGCTAGAACTTCAATTCTTTAAATTAGTTATTAATTCAAAAAAAAATTAGTTAGGTGTTTTTTATAGACCGCCTAATGGTAACTTTAATTTTATCATTAATGATTTTGATAATATTTTAGCTGAAGTTTATCCGGAATATAATTTTCTCTGTTTTGCAGGCGATGCTAATATTGACTTTTAAAATATGAGCAATGCTCTTAATGATTCTTCTGAATCGTATGTTTTAGAGCAAATTGTAACTGAGCCAACCAGAGTTATTAAAACCTCGTTAAAACTAATTGATCCTATTTTTGTATCGAATAAAGATTTTGTAATTAAACACGATGTTATTGTTTGTAATACCATTTCAGATCATAGGTTAGGATTTATTGAAATTAAACTTAAGGGTTATAGAATGAGTCCAAAATTTGTTTCGTACCGTTGTTTTAGACATTTTAATTATAACAGCTTCGTGGATGATCTAAAATCTTTACCTTAAATATGAAAATAATATTGACGTAAAAATAAATTTATATAAGGACTTTTTATTGCTATTATTTAATAAACATGCTCCTATACATGAGGTAAGAGTAACTAGACCACCAGCGCCTTGGATTACTCCCAACCTAAAACATATTATGAATGAACGGGATAAAGCTTTACAAAAATATAAAAGAACTAGTTTACCTTCTGATTAGATTGCTTATAAAAACATTTGTAATTTTACTGTATCAGTAGTTAGACAAGAAAAAAAAACATATCTTAACTCCACTTGTCTGGCTAATAATTCCAAAAAGATTTGAAAAGAGTTTTAAAAATCTAAACGTTCATAGCAAGCAGTCCTATAGTATTCCTTTCAATTTAAAAATCCTGATCAAATTAATTCTTACTTAGCCAAATTTGTGCGTAATGTGACTAATAACTGCGATACAAAGATTGAATATTATCATAGTTGCCTATTTAATAAAAGTTTTAACTTTCCTTTTTCATTGGTCGATATTAATGAAGTGAATAAAATAATAATAATAATAATACTCTCCCTCGAAGAAAAGGTAATACAACGAAGTAAAACTCAAGAGATATTATATTTTTGTTATAACGAGATGCACTTTACGTTCATGTAAACAGATTTAGGTTTTTACAGAAATTACATTAAATAAATTCATAAAATAGGTTAAA